AACCTAGTAATACAAGTGAAGTTTATCCACACTAATTAGAGGCAAAATAAATGGGATTCCAAGTTAAGGGCTAATATTTTAACATAAATACATGCTGCTTATTCAGTTCAATATCAGGATGTTAATTGATTAATGTTATTCAAGGGTCATATTTCTGTTTCAAAGACCCCATCTTTTCAGTACACAGTTCCCTACTATGCATTCATAAATTCACATGTCTTTCCCCTTTTTCCTTGCAGATAAACCAAAGTTGTTTTCCCTGTAGACAATACTGCCAAAAAGTAAGTTGAGAGTCCCTTACAACTTCAATCCTTAAAACTCGATTTGTGATCCCCAATTCTCAAAAGATAGAAGATGGGGGTTTGAGTTGAGTTGTGAAATGTTCAGGTCAAGTTTCAAGATGCTCAAAATAAGTATTAGGTGTCTATAAACAAGGAAACAAATTAATTTTTGTGCAATCAATTTTTCACATGACTTGAAGCTTCTTACCTTTTGACATATTCACAGGACAAAATAATATCCTTAGAGCATGCATACCTAAACCCCCACTAGCTGATAGCCAGTTCCAATCTAAGTTCTAATTTGCTGAGAATATCATCATTTTGAGTTGGGTTCTTACCTTTAAAAGATATTCATAAAAAGAATCTAAGCCAGCACCTAATCCACTCATTTTTCCTGTCCATTCTCCAGTTACCACATTAATAGCATTTCCTATAAAGCAATCACACATGAAAAAGAAGTTTGAAACCTCACCTAACATATTTTAGCAATAAGATGCTCTTTTCATCAGTTTACTGGCATTATAATCCACACGGGATGTTCAGAGAACACACGAAAAGTTTATAAACCATGAGCCGAAGTTGAGTGGATTAAAATTGTTTACAAACTGTTCAATTCATTTTTGATCACTCCTAGGAGTGAAGAGGTTAATAAGCCCTCTATTAACTCCCAGAATTGATTTTTCAACAAATTCTCCTTGTCAGCACCTAAGGAAACATATGGGGAACAGTATGGAGAAAATGCATACTGATGTTAGGGTGTAAAGAGTAAACTCACCAAGCAGCCCAGTCTCTAATGACCTGCGCTTCCAGAGAGCCTCCACTGCTTTGCGTGCAAAATTTTCAAAAACTGGATCACCCAGTAGCCTGCTGAGGATTCCAAACTCTAATATAATAGTACCAGCTCCTGCTGTACAAGTTTCATTATATAAAATTGACGGCAGACCATCAACTAAATTTACCTGTACAAAAAAAAAGGAAACATAACCAATGTTATATCAGGGCATTCTCACCTTTGGGTTTATAACAAATGTAATGGATCTGACTTCTTTTTAGAAATTTAAGTCCAAAGATCTACTTGTCAATTCTTCTATCTGGCTACTATTTATTTCCTTGTAAGTTAGTTACAAGAATTTGGTGTTCGATCAAGATAACAACTTCAATCTGATAAATTTGAGTATTCTCATTACCTGTTTGCTGAATAATGTATGGATTTAATACGGAGAAGTAACATTTTAATCACTTCTGGAGTTAAAGGGTTAAAGCCTTCAATGTACTCTAATGAGCTTTTATCTGAGTAGTTTTTGATTATGTATTATATATTAATTAAACCAAAAGTGAGTTTATTACTGACAACAGCTAATTGGAGCAAACAGAATGAACTGTATCAAATGTTCCCTAAATTCAAGTTAACAAGTCTTTGACTCCAAGAGTGAC